TTCATTTGATGACCAATTTTGAGTTCTTTGTATATTTTGGAGGTCAGACCTCTGTCCAATGTGGGGTTGGTGAAGATCTTGTCCCAGTCTGTAGGCTGTCGTTTTGCCTTTGCTTTATAGAAGCTTTTCAGTTTCAGGAGGTCCCATTTATTAATCGTTTCTCTCAGTGTCTGTGCTGCTGGAGGTATATTTAGGAAGTGGTGTCCTGTGCCAATGCGTTCAAGTGTACTTGCCACTTTCTCTTCTATGAGGTTCAGTGTTGTTGGCTTTATGTTGAGGTCTTTGATCCATTTGGACTTGAGTTTTGTGCATAGTGATAGATATGAATCTATTTTCATTACTGTACATGTTGATCTCCAGTTATACCAGCACCATTTGTTAAATATGCTCTCTTTTTTTCCATTTTATATTTTTTTGCTCCTTTGTCAAAAGTCAGGTGTTTGTAGGTGTGTGGATTGACATCCAGGTCTTCTATTCGGTTCCATTGCTCCTCCTGTCTGTTTTTATGCCCATACCAGGCTGTTTTCAGTATTGTGGCTCTGTAGTAGAGTTTGAAGTCAGGGATTGTGATGCCTCCAAAAGTTCCTTTATTGTACGGGATTGTTTTGGCTGTCCTGGATTTTTTGCTTTTCCATTCTATCATATACCTGTCAGAATGGCCAAGGTCAAAAACGCTGATGACAACTGGAAAGGATGTGGGGTAAAGGGAACACTCCTGCATTGCTGGTGGGAGTGCAAACTGGTAAAGCCACTTTGTGTAACATGAGGGGCTGCTTGTTGGGGTATCTGTCCCGCCTGGTACCCCACAGCCAGCAAGCCCCAAAGAAAATCACACAGAGATCTCCATAACTTATAAAACTTATTGGCCCATTAGCTCAGGCTACTTATTAGCTCTTGTAGCTCATATAAACCCATTGTTCTTATCTATGTTAGCCACATGGCTCAGTACCTTTCTCAGCTGGGCAGGTTGCATCTTGCTTCTCAGTGATCTGGGCAAGAATGGGAGGAATGGGCTTCCTCCTTCCTAGCATTCTCCTGTTTTCATCGCCCCACCTCTACTTCCTGTCTGGTTGACCTGCCTATACTTACTGCCTGGCCAATCAGTGTTTATTCAAATTAAACAGATTGACAGAATACAGACAATTCTCCCACATCAGCTTTGGATATCAGTATGGAGATTTCTTAGAAAATTAGGAAACAACCTTCCTCAAGACCCAGCAATATCACTTTGGGGTATATATCCAAAGGAGGCTCAATGGTACCACAAGGACATGTGCTTAACTATGCTCATAGCAGCTTTGTTTGTCATAGCCAGAACCTGAAAACAACCTAAAAGCCCCTCAGCCGAAGAATGGATAAGAAAAATGTGGTATATTTATACAGTGGAGTACTACACCGCAGAAAAAAAATAATCTTGAAATTTGAGGGCAAATGGATGGATCTAGAAAACATCATATTGAGTGAGGTAATCCATACACAGAAAGACAAATTTCGTATATACTCAAAAACCAGCCTACAATTCACAATCCCAGATAACCTAGACAACAATGAGGACCCTAAGAGAGAAATACATGGATCTATTGTACATGGGAAGTAGAAAAAGACAAGATCTCCTGAGTAAATGGGGAGCATGGGGATCCTGGGAGAGGGCTGAAAAGGAGGGGAGAAAAAAGGAGGGTAGCAATGGAAAATATACAGCTCAATAAAATCAATAAAAAAATTTAAAAAACCATTTCTCTTTTTAGGATGGAAAATAAATTACTGGTTTGTAATCTGTAATCTCTGCAGTAAAGTGCCATGGATGCTTGTTTTCAGACTCTCAGCGTTGTTTGTTGTAGGCAGTGTGTTGTTGTCCACTCAGGTTGCACAGTTAAAGCTCTGCCTTTGACTTGAGTCAAGTGAATTTTTGCTGGACATAATTGCATGTGTGCTCAATCTGTTTACACCTGATGAGAGAGGGGGATGCTGAAGCAGATGTTCCATATTGCCATTCACAATTGTCTGACAGCTACGCTAGACAGGTTCCATCATAGTAACAGGACTAGTGGTCCCTACTTCCTTCACAGTCTTACACTTGCTAATGAGTCCTCCTCAATTCCTCTTGTTTCATTTGCTCAGTACAAGCAACTAGGGAAGCTTCTGCTGTCCTGCAGGCGGGATGCTGTGCTGTGTTTAAAAGCCAGGAGTCTATTGCCAAAGGAACCATATTTACACACGTGAGATATACATCTTCCTATGATCCTAGGGTACCTTTGTCATCTACTAACCAAAGTTGTTACCAAACTAACCAGTCATGAGACTGTCTATGGCTTATCTGTCTGCAGTTTCAACAAGCCTTTCTTCTTCCACATTCTCTAACAAACATGCAATAGATGCTGGAGAGCTGAATTTCCTAGGCTGGTCCCATCATACATGATTTCGTAACTTAAAACACATCTCCATGGTATTAAAATCTTACACTATTGACTTTTCAACATGAACTAAGTTGGAGTGGAGAGCCTGAGAGTCGGAGCACTGGGGTAACCACAGCAGTTCCCGCTAGCTGTGTAGAGGAGGACAAGCTGCTCCAAGTTTCTGGGCTCAGGAGAGGAGACAGCTGCTTGCTTGTTGTCTCATGGGTCCTACAAGGAACCTACAAGGTAGAGCATGTGACAGTGCTTTGCATTACAGAGCATGCAATCCAACTCCAAGACAGAAAAAAATGGAAGACGTACATAAACTGTGATATTTTTTATTGTGTTATTGCTTTCATCTGTATGGTGTGCTGCATTTTTATTTGTAAACAGAGATTGTAAGGTTGACTTTCTCCCAATTATCACAACTAATGAACTCTTCTTAATGGGAAACTGCAAATATAGATTTTATTTGAGGGAGGAAATTAAAGTGATGAAGGTGACTTTTTTCCCTCCGTTGGCATGTAAAAAGCAAAGAGACTACTAATTAGAAAATATCTAGTTATTCTCTATATTCACCTGAGTGGCCTGGCTTCTCCCGGTGTTCATTCTTCACTCAAGTATAAGGTATCAAAAGTCAGCCCTTCCGTAAATATTGTCAATCAGTAGTGTGTCTCCTGGACAAACTTATATTGAAGTTTGTTTTTTAGAACTATATACAAAGTGCTCAGTTTTATAAGTAAGAGAGAAAGCACCTCAGATGCTTTAATGTTTGTATTTTATGATACTTTACAATAACGCTGTGAAAAGGAGTTGCTCAGAATACTGATTCTCATAGGAAATTCTTTTCAGTTAGTTCAAGTGTATAACAGTTTTCTATAACAGAGTTATTTGCTTATTTTGATAATTTAAATTCAGGGTCACTTAATTAATTTCTTCAAAGTGACTTTGTTTAATGACTGCCATCCTGAAAAGATGAGATGGGATTAATCATCAAAGTCTGTGATTTACAGTAAATGATCACGTATATGTATGTAAAGAGTCACTCCACTTGAAATGAATACTTTTCCTCTCATCAGTACTCACATATACTACTAACACAATAGGTGGTCTCATCAGTACTCACATATACTACTAACACAATAGGTGGTCTCATCAGTACTCATATATACTACTAACTAACACAATAGCTGGTCTCATCAGTACTCATGTATACTACTGACACAATAGGTGGTCTCATCAGTACTCATGTATACTACTAACACAATAATAGGTGGTCTCATCAGTACTCAGGTATACTACTGACACAATAGGTGGTCTCATCAGTACTCATGTATACTACTGACACAATAGGTGGTCTCATCAGTACTCATGTATACTACTGACACAATAGGTGGTCTCTCTTCCCCCGCATGCACTTAACAAGGCTAACCTGTTAAGAACCAGTTAGAGACCACAGGAAAGCTCTTAGTAGCACTTCATTACTCCTTGTCTGCTACTGCTTTCTCATCCTGTACTGGGTTTGAATTTTCTGACAGACTCACCCATGTCAACCTTGGATTCAGAGTGGCTTTGCTACCTGAACCCAGTAAGCACAGAAATGACAGCCTTGCCATACCCAACCGCTGCTACTATTGCTTTCATCTGCTTGTTTGGCTTGATCTCTTCTCTCCCTCCTTCTCTCTTTGTCTTTGTTTTTTTATTTTTAGATTATTCTTTTAATTATGTGTATGTTTTACCTGAATATCTTAATGTGCATCATATGTGTTCCTGATGTCTGGGGTGGTAACCAGAGGGCATCAGACCTCCTGGAACTGAAGTTCCAGATGATTGTGAGGTGTCGTGTGTGCTAGGAACTGAACCAGGCACCTCTGTGAGAGCAACAAGTGCTTCTCACCACTGAGGCATCTCTCCAGCTTCTACTCATGAAGTCCTTAAGATGCAAACATTTCTCTGTGGAAAACTAATATCGTTTGTGGTGAGAGGAGAAAGCATTCAGAGAAAAAATGAGACTGAGTCATCAACAACAGCTTCGAATGTAACCTAGAAACTAATTTCAGAAGATATAACCTTTTTTCTCCCTTCATAGTGCCAGGAGTTACACATTGGGTAGTTCAACTGTTGATCTGTTTATGTAGCCAGGAAATAGATTTACTTATCCTAAATTTGATCACATTAAATACATTTTGTCCTAGTTTTTTTTCCAATATAGTTCAAAGGGGCATGAGTTAGATATTCAGACACTATCAAGAATGAAGTTGTATGGTCTCTTAGTGCATTTTTGTAGTCAAGGTCACCTGTTACCCACACTTGACTTTGGCAACTAGCCTTCATGGAGTTTCTGAGGTCTCCTACAAGTTATCGTCCCCCAACATGTGTGTCCATAAGTAATTGTGAACCTCTGCTTTTTAGTTATGTTGGAGAAAGGCCTTATGTTTTCGGGGTGATAGGTTTTTGGTGTCACCTATGAAACATTAGACAAGCTGGAAAAATTGTCACCTGTCCCCCTGGTCATTGATAACCAGTGATTGGATTTCAGTGTCTGTGTTCTCTGCCTATCATCTCCAACGTCTTCTCTCACAGATTATTTTGCAATATTCTTCCTAGACTTGAATGAAGCAGTCCCAGAGACAGAGCGCCTGGATTCAAAAGCTCTGAAAACTCGGGCCCAGCTCTCTGTGAAGAACAGGCGCCAGAGGCCTACGAGGACACGGCTCTATGACAGTGTCAGCTCAACGGATGGGGAGGACAGCCTGGAACGGAAGGTGAGCACTCCTCCTGCTTGTCAGATAAGTAGTAAACGTGATAGCTGTTTTACTAATAGAGTTTGCTCCCTCTTTGGAAAGAACTACTGTGGTTTATATCTTTGTCTCCTGAATTTATATTCAATTTGCTATATGGTTGTCATTTAATTCTTTTCTCTAGTCATTCAGTATCGTAGCCAAAAGCATATCCATATTACCATATTTCTTGATGGTACCTTTGATATTCAGCTGTTAGTTTTGATCTTGTGGGAAATGATGACCATTCAGTAATCATTTGTACATGCGTAGGTGGCTGTGTTAGCTGCACTGTTTATTGATGAGTAGCCATGAGCTGTGCGTTCTCAGAAATAAGCCAACATCCAACGGTTCCTTTTCCTGAGCAAAGGCCAGTTTGTCTCTAAGAAGGTGTTTCAAGCACCAACTCTCACTGCCATAACTGCTGAGTGACCTCTTAGCCCAACAGCCCTCAGTCTCTCTGACCCCAAACATTACCAAATCGCTTCTGCCCAAGGGTTGGAGAGTTTCTTCTCCAGAATCAGATTCTGGTGTCGCACTCCTCACCCCTGTGGCTAGCCACGGGGCCTTCTCATCGCACCACGTGACTGAGTCTCAAGAAGAATTGCGGCTTTCAGAAAGGGATACTTTGTCCTCTCTCTCGGGAGACACTTCACCCTCATCGCCTTCAAAATCTGATCATGATACAGAAGACGCTTCCTGCCACCGCCAAGCAACCAAGAAAACCTTACATGAAAAAGGTATTTGGATTTCATTTTGCTTTTCCACTTGGCTTTCATCTGACATCAATAACACCTCAATTGTACAGTATAAAACTAGATTTTTCTCATAGCTGTAGATCCTTAAACACTGTTCTCCTTCTATCTCAGGGAAGGAGAGAACTTCCACTTCCATGTATTTTGTTTTATTTGTTTTTAGTTTTGCCTGGCAGTCTGGTATATTTAATCCCTTTAGCTTTCTCCATGTTGACTATTAAGGGAATGTTCTGGAAACTGTCTAAAGGTTGTGTACACTAGAGCCTGGAGTTTTCATGAACACTAACAGCCACATGAGGGAAAATGTGAAGATTAGATGATGTCAGCCATTACCAGATTGATTTTTATTTAAATAAGTTTTCACAGTAATGATGGTGATGCTATCACTGTAGTAATCATTGCAGGGATTAGCATTGCCTTGTGTGCGATAGGATAGCAATGGGAAAGAAATGCGGAGCAGGTATAGAGTTAGTAGACTTGACTTTTACATTTTTATTTTATTGCATGGGTGTTTTACCTGCAGGTCTGTCTGTGTGCCATGTGCATGCATTGCCCTCAAAGGTCAGAAGAGAATTATCAGATATCTGCTATTGGGTGGTTATGATCCATCATGTGGGTGATAGGAATTGAACCCTGGTCCTGTAGAAGAGCAGTCAGTGCTCTTAACCACTGAGCCACCTTTCCGACCCTTATACTTGTCTTTTTAATCATTTATTTTGGTATATAGAAACAGTAAATCTGTGCTTAAATTAAACAGTGCCAAGAAATATAAAACATGAGCTTTGCACCCCCTTTACATATGATGTATTCCTTTAAAGTAACAATGTAGTATTAGTTATGTTATTTTTGTATAAGTAATATAATGTGTACATATATACAGAACAGAAATTATTTTTATATCTGTTTTGGTTTATATACTTACATTTTTGCAAAAATATACTCTAACAAATCACATAACTCTGAAACTTTATTTTACAAATTATATTTTATTGGCACCTATTTATGAATATATATTTAAATAACAATAGGGGTGTGTGTGTGTGTGTGTGTGTGTGTGTGTGTGTGTGTGTGTGAAATCCTGTATTTGTCTATTAAGAATTATATGTAAAGGTATTCATAGCAGAGACTGGAAAGATGGCTCAATTGATAAAATACTTACAATCCAAGCATGTGGACTCAAGTTTGGATCCCCGGCATCAAGGAAAAAGCTGGGCATGGTGGTTTACATCTATAATCACAGAGTTGGGGGCTAGAGGGGGTCAATGAATACAAGCAGCCTATCTAGCCAAGTCAGCGACCCATACTGTCTCAAAAAGGTGGAAAGGAACTAAAGAAAGATGCCTGATACTGGTTTTTAGCCTCCACATGTGTGCACACACAGACATGCATACACATTCACATAAACACACACAGAGACATGCATATACACTCACATAAACACAACACACAGGCATGCATACATACATAAACACACACACAGACATGCATACACACTCACATAAACACACACAGACATGCATACATACTCACATAAACACACACAGACATGCATACACACTCACATAAGTACACACACACAGACATACATACACACATAAGCACACACACAGACATGCATGCACACTCACATAAGTACACACACAGACATACACATGTACTATCATAACACACACAGACATATACATATACTCTTATAACACACACACATAAGGAAAGAAATTAATCATGCAGCCCTGTTGTGTAATAACAAAGATGGTAAAACGGATAAATGATAGCTGTGAATTTATGTAATGAATCCATACAGCAGGAGATCAGTAAACTAAACTATAACTAAAGTTATATTTATAACTGCAGATCTCCAGGAGAAGACATCAACAGGGCCAAACAGATCACAAGAGTTATCCAATTATGTTTGTAAGAAGCAAAGTTGGTAGATTCTTTAGAAGTGTAGACAAAATTTGTCTTTACAAATGGGAAGGATGAAGTCTGAACCCTGGAAGGAGGGGTCAGGAGGTGTCAGTAGAAAGAGTGTGAGGGACCTCGGTTCTACACACCACAGCAGAGGGAGGGGCAACAAGGACCTCGGTTCTACACACTGCAGCAGAGAGAGGGACAGCCACAGGCTCTTTTGTTCATTTTTACTGATATTCTCTGCCCGTACCATAAGTACTCTGGATTTTAGCTGTCAAAGAAACCCCCAGAATACAAAGTTAATGGGTGGTCTTTTAATGTTCAAATAACTTCAAAGAACTGATTCTTTTTAAAAAGTAAAAGGTGACTCTCGGTTCCATGAAAAAAAGATTTACATTGGTTTATAGGTTATGAAAAGTAGAGCAACTTCACTGATGATCAGAGAGGTGACCCTTTAAATTAATTGCCAAAGTTGCCAGATCTCAGACTAACTGGAAAGAATCTGACAGAAGGCACCAGACTTGCTCACTGAAGGTACAACTGCGTATGCGCCTTCAAAGGTCCTCATGCATTGTTGTCTGCCAGATCATAAAATACAAGCTTCCTCCAGATGCTTGTGAACGCAGAAACCCAGCTGACCCGTGGTGCTTTGTGACTTGTGGTCAGAACTGGCGTTCTCCTGCTGTCCTTGCTGGGGCTGTCAGTTATCTGCCAAAGAGACAGCCTTCAGAAACAGCCCGGGAGGCAAGCATTGAGTATTGAGTGTAGGACTCTAGTGGAGGCAGGAGAATTCTGTCAGACCCACCAAACAATCAAACATGGCAGTCAGGTTGGTGAACAGCTTAACTGTGAAGTTGGCTTACGCTGAAAAGAATTTTCACTAATTAAAGCATGGTTATGATAGTGCCTTTATAGAGATAGACTTGCAGTTAGCACTCCCCCATCTCCTAAACGTGCAGACTGTTGTTGGGAGAAGACCAAGGCAGAAACTCTTTCTCTGGAGTCCCGTTGTGTGAGTCTATGTTGTTGTTCAGCTTGTTCTGTTTGGTATTTGAAGTGCTGGAGATTGAACTCAGAGCTTTGCACAGGCTAGCCGGGCATCCTACTGCTGAGCTGCGTCCTCTCCCCACAACTTGCTATCCAAAGGCATGATGATCAGACAGTGGATCTCTGACTTGTGAAAACTTACAGGGACTTTTAAAAGCTCAGTTTTATCTGCATTCATGCTGTCCTTTTCTTCTGATTGATGGCTGTTTTGAAGTTGGCAGAAGGGTAATTTACAGATGGGAAGGATGCCGGCTCCTAAGCATCAATGGGGAGTGGACTGAGAGCCTCTCCGTTTCCACAAAGCTGCCTTGTTTGCATCTGTGTTTCCTTTGGAATTAACCAGGACCAAAGAACAAGACAGGTCCTTTCTTGGTCCAGAGACCAAGATCTCGGGGTTTCCCTTCTTCTGTTCTCCTGGGCTGGCCATACTTCTGGGTAACTGAACAAAGCAGTTCATTGGACATTTTTCAAGTGCCAGCCTTGTAAATGGACAAGTATGGCTGTTGTAACATGCTGTCTCAGTCATGGTTTCTAGTGCTATAATACAAATACCATGACCAAAAGCAACGTGAGGGGAAAGGGGTTAATTTCATCTTCTATTTTCAGTTAACAGTGTCTTGTTCAGTGAAGTCAAGGCAAGAGATAGGAGCACAAATCTTAGGCAGGAACAATGTAGCTGCTGTGTGGAGTGCTGCTTGCTTACTGACTTGCTCTCAGTATTACCTTCCAGGCTCCTATAGATCAACCCACTGAGCTTTTAACATTCAGTGGCTTTTCTAGTCCAAAATTTCCAAGTCCTTCCACAATACTTACCAAAACAACATGGTCTGGTCTGACCCAGACCCCACAAACCTGTTACCAAATATAGTCAGGTTGATAATGAGATTCACCTCACATACTAACTGAAAAGTGATGCTGGAACTTCATCCTTTCCTTTTTGTGTTAAAGTTTATAGTCTAGAGTTTCCTCTGCCTTCATGCTCATTCACATTTATTCCTGTGTCCATTGCACACTTGCTGAGAACCTAATGTGTATCCAGGTGTGTCTCCAGTGACTGTCGGTATTGCTCCACTTCCTTCAGGGAGCTGCATACCAAAGTCCGTGTCTTTCTTCCTCTCCCTGTGTGTGTTTCTCATGTCCATGTTCATTCTGTCTGTGCCCCCCAGACAGAATGTTTGGTGGTAGACTTGCCCTCTCTGGGACCCCTGGCCACGCCACAGTCAACATGTCGGAAAGTACTTTGCTTCCTTGGCATTGTACTCTCAAGTTCTCCACACCTTGAAGGATGCCAGAGACATCTCATGCACTGCCTGTCAGTGCTCTGAAGAACTAGGGTTCTGGTCGTCAGTTCTATGTCCCCAGTTCCAGCAATATACGCACATCTAATCAGCACAGGGTGCTGGTTCATGCTGCTAAGATCTTTGAAAACATGCTGTACCAAAACAGTAATTTTCTAGCTTATTTTGGAGGGATCGGCTGACACAATAACCACCAGTCTTCATTCATTCCATTTTCTCCTAGGTGGTGGATTCGTAAATCACAAAGTTACTCAGTGAGCATAAAATTAGAATCAAATTAACTGGCTGTGTACACAGGATGTGCCATTCATGTGCTGATGGCCTGCCCCTTACACTAAATCGTTCTCAGATCCTCAGGGTTCTCCCACCCAGCTCCGATAAACAGACCTAAGCACCATTCAAACAGTAAGGAAATCCCATGCTCCTTTTGATCATACTGCTGCAGCGGGCCCAACAAATGTTAACAAAATGGAATCCTCCTTCATTGAAACAGAACTCCAGAGAATAGGCTCTGTAATGCCTTGCATTCCTTGCTGTATGAGACACAGATTCTTTCCTCTCAACTGGACGTGAAAATTCTGGTATGGCTAATCTCTGGCACCCTCAGTGTGTGGTTCTTAGCACTCATTGACTTTTCAGTGAGGGAGCTTACTCAAAAGGGCTTTGTGATTCTCCCAGGTACAAATTTGACCTCATGTTTATATTCTTGGCTAACACTGTACCCAACATAAATCTCACCTCCTTAATTTGGCCTTGGGCCAGCTACCCCGTTCCGCAGTGATTTTCCCAGTTGCTTCTGAGTTCACTCCTTTGTGTACAATGACTGACTTGGTAGTTAGTGTGAACCATCATTTTCTCTCCTAGCTTACTCTCCTTTTTCTTCTTGGTTCTTCAGAAAGAGTGTGACAAATCAGCAATATTTGGACATCACTAGACAAATTACTAAGTTTGCCTCTCCAGAGAAGTAAAACAGTCATCTGGACGGGGTTCACCAGCCAAACCCAACTGCCGCCTGTTTGGAAGGGAAGTCTTCCTAGAATGTGGCCATACTTTTTCTGCCACGTAAGCATCCCTTCAAGCTATCTTGGCAGAGCAGGGTGATTGAATGAGAAACCGAACCTCTTCCCAACATAAACTATTTACTCTTTCGCCCATAGGGATGGGGGAATTTTCCTGATGGCTGGCCTACAAGTGTGCTTCATCCTGCTCAGCCACTGTGTCGTGAGCTCTAGATATGGCTATGTCACTGTTTGCCATCTGCCTGGCTTTTTAAGAAGTCTTATATCGTCACTTTCTGTCTATCGAGTTAGTTATAAAGATGGCTAATCTGTCACTGTGTTTTATTGAAGCCCTAACGATAGCCTAGTTTTCTAAATGTATTGGTGTCTCCATTTGCATGCCATCATTTTCCCTCGTCAGTATAAATGGAGACAGAGGGATCCCATAACCACCGCCTTGGTGGTTTACCTGTAACTGAATGGCAGTTAGGTTAGCAGAAGCCAGGGCAGTATCTCTCCAGGGATTGTAGAACAGGAGTCTGTGGCCATATACGCGCATGAAAATGCTTCCTTTCTCCCCTGTAGGAGCAGCTTTATACTGAGGGATTTTCTCTAGCTTGCATAGCAGAGAGGCTTTGTCCAGTCAAGGTTATTGAACAAATTCAGGACTCACTATCAATTTTCTACTCAACTTCTAGAAGTCAGTATTCTAAGTTTCTGTTTTGACCATTGGCACACTGCCTGACATAGAGCTCTTTCAGGAACTTTCCAGCTTGGCAAAGCCTTCACACAGTTCCCTTCTCCTTCACATACTGCAGTAGGCCTCTGCGTGTGTGCATAAATGCCATGTTGCTGCTGAGAGTGGAGAAGATGCTCTGCTTGGTCAGCACAGAAAGTGCAACTGCAGGCACCTCCCGGGCTTTACAGAAGATGGCAAGGAAGACGATAGAGTGCCCTGTGAGCAGACAGGTCCAGGAGTCCAGAGCAGTGGCCAGCTCCGGGACTGAACATGTTGATTCTCCAGGATAGCCAGACTGGGTGTAAAAGCCAATAGGTGTTGTTTTCTATGGCTCCATAATTTAAGTATCTTAGATACCTCACCCTTGTGCTAGGGAACCACAGACTATTCTCAGAAGAGAATAAATAGAAAAGGACAGGGAGCGTGCAGGAACTGAGTAAGGAGACTCTCAGGAGAATGCTTGTGAAGAGAGTGGCAGTGCAGGGTAGACTCACACAACAGCCATGAAACTTCTGTGGTTAGATCATACTGAGAAGAAAGTGAGCCAAAGCTGATCACAGGCTTGGGACTTCAGAACACATGCTTTATCACTAACAGAAAATGAGAAATCAGGAACACTGTATGGAAAATATGATTAATTTCTTTTTAAATAGAGGAAGTCTAGAATCCAGAAAAGAAACCAGGTCAGGAAGTGGATCTGAAAAATCCCATCATAAAAGAAGGGACAGTCAAGTGTCTGATTGAGCAGATTGATATCATCCAGGATGGACTATGGGATTTAGAGATCAGAAGACCATGTGTTTATTTGGGAAGCAAGAGCCAAGTTGCTGAAGCTTAAAATTGAAGTGCTTGGTCTGGGTGCCTGAGCTTGATGTGTCACAAGAGTCATATGGGGGCAGTTTCTAAAACACACAAAATAAATAAATATAGAAAAACACAATATGTGCCTTTCTTCAGCACATACTAACCCCACGTTAGGTTTTTTGCAGACCTAAAGTTCTAACATACATTAAAAATTAATTTAAATGATTTAAATGGCAAGGGGCACTATTCTTTAATCCTGTCTCTTCATTTCAGTGTTGCCTGAAACGTGCTTTGGCAAATGTGTGAGATGATGGTGTGAGGTTGCCTAGCAGCAAGCTTTGCAATAGACAGAACCAAGCTTTCAGTGCTAAGATGTCCAAATGACTACAACACCAGCAGGTTACAGAGAGTCTCGATGACCATTGTCTCAGCGTTCATCTCACCACTCATTAAAGCACCTTCTAGCTGCCACTAATTCAGAAAATAATTAAGGAGGCTCCTTTTAGCTTTGTACTGTCCTGGCCCTTAAGAGTTCTTTAGGATTGCTACGGAAGAATTCATCTCATTTGTTTCTTTGGCTTCTATTTAGAAAATTGAAACCTGATTTTTTTTTAAAGTATCCATTAGCAAAATCACCTTACAAGGTACCCATTTTTTAGAAATGGATTTGAGTCCCATCTATGACTATTTAATTCTGTTAGTGAGAGAATAATGATGCAAATATTCATAATAAACATTTGAAGCAAGAAGTGAATTTTTGACATAGGCAGATATCTGACTCTTGTATTTCATCATGTACATTTTAAAGAATTATTGTAATCTGCTGAGAACCATTAACTAACAATACAAAAAGCTCATAGCTAGGAATGTGTGGAGTGTCTGTCCTTGCACTGTGCTACCGTAGGAGCTTTGGAGCCTCACTGAGAACGGGTCAGTATACTGGTATCTGTTCACAAATTTGTCCTGAGGTAAACAAAAATCATAAACAAAATTAACCTTTAAGGTTAATTGAACACTGTCTTGGGATGCCCATTTTCTATTCATTCCATGCAAGAATCTCTAGACCTTTCATTTTTTAAAAAAAAAAAAAAAATTAAGCTAGAAGCAGACACTAACAATTAACAAGGAAGTTTTGCACAAACACTATCTGTCAATCATCCCGGGTGACTGAAGATGCTGAAACGTGGCACCCATCACTTTTTGCTTCAGTTTCATCTGCCTTATCAAAGGTGGAGTACATACCACTGGTAGAACCTGGCGCTGCAGTCACACTGAATCCCATTCTCAAAGCCTTTCTTCTGATGGGCATCATTTCTAGTATCCTATTCCTCATGGTTGCTATACTGCAGAATAGTGCCAGCATCATTCATGGAGGGGCAACTTGGTCAGCTCCAAGTCCTTGGAAGATTTGGGCATCTTCTGTCTCATGGTAGGCCAAACACTTGTGCTCCAGCTAGCTCTTAAAAAGAACCTTTCAAAGATCTATTTGGCTTTTGCTTAAAAAGGTTTCCCCAGGTTCTTCCTCACCCTGTCCCAGAACTGGCCCTGGGCCACTAGTATGGGAGATCTCAGGAGGTAATTTAAGGGGAAAAAAGACATGCATTGGTGTTTTGCCATGGGTGTTGAGTCCCCTGGGTCTGGATACTTGAACCCAGGTGAGCCAGTGCTCTTAACGGCTGAGCCGTCTTTCCACCCACCAAAAGGGAAAGTTTTATTCTTAGTTGCTATCTACAGCTCCCAAACTTTAAGAGGTGGTATTTTCTACTGGGATTTGAGATTCAGATAGGCTTCTTCAGAATTCAGGAAAACCCCAAACCAAGAAAGCTGTGGAAGAAAGAAACAGGCCCTGGGTGCCTAGAGGTGGAGCCAGGGGCAGACAGACACCAGCACACCTGCTGGGAAATGAAAGTGTTTATTGAGCCCACTTCCCTCTTCCCTGTCTCTACAGTAGGACTTTCCTGCTCTGCTGACTTTCAGCCATCATGGCCGAGTTTCTGTGTCCTCTAGACAGGACAGACACTATGTTCTTATACATTGAAAATCAGTATAACCCTTAGCTTCAGGCAAAACCCTTAGCTTCAAAGATACACTGACTTTTGATTCATGGCTTAAAATATAATGCTAATTTATCTTTTTCCTATGTGTCTATGTCCTAGATGGTGCCAATTGTCCTAAATCACTAAGAGCATCCAGTTCATTCATGGTACAAGGAGGAAAAATTAAGCAGAAGTTTGTGGATCTGGGGTAAGCTCCTCCTTCTGAGAAAGTAGTTTTCCATGAGGAAAGATTAAAAGGGGGTGTTACTTTTCTCTTCATGACTGTATCCTGTAATTGTAGGGCACCTTTGCGATGGAATCCCAACAAGGGGAAGAAATGCAAAGAAAAAGAAGCCAGTAGGTTTTCTGCAGGTAGCAGGTACGGGTGGGCGATTAAGAATGCACATTTCTTTCTTAAGCTAATTCTGCCCCTCTTGCTATTAACCAAGACCAGTGGTCAGTGTTTCTAAACACACATGATGAACCCAGAGTTGTGATCCAAAAAAAAAATAATTGAGCCATTATTTTATGCTATTTTTAGTTATAGCTTTGGATAAATCTATTGGTCACTAACTGCCAAATTACAGTCATATTAACAATTCCATTAAATAATTATTTAAATGCATCTGTGTGATATTTTAGACATATTTCAGGTTTCTTTATTGTTATACTGGGTTTGGTTGGTTGTTGGTTTTTGTTTTGTTCTGTTGGCCTGGCTAGTCACAATATTAATGCCTTCCCTCTCCCCACATCCTCATGTAAGAGGTTAATTTTGCATTTGACACCATGCTGACATTCTGCATGCATGTAAGAATGACCACCAACCTCTAGCTGGACTCTGCAGTTTAGCGGACTTGCAAGACTGTTGACTACACTTACCTTTCAGTAAACATTTTTGTTGTATAGAGAACTAAGTTTTCTATGTTCTATGTTGAGGTTATATAATTTAAGATAGATTTATGTAGGGGGCAGCAAATCATAAAGCTCTGAAGCCTATGTGTCTTGGATTGAATTTTAGTTTTCAAGTTCTTGCTTTTAAATCCTGGATAGATTATTCAGCCATCTCTGCCTCTGTTTTCTCATATGAAATGAGTGTGATAACAGTTCTTATAGGAGTTGTGTGAACATTAAATAAGAGTGTGTATGAAACATCATAAATGTTTTCTTTATACTTGGTACATAGGCAGTATTTAAAAATAATATCAATGATGACAAATTGCTGTTGTTATGGCTTTACATTTCCCGACCTTGTTTTATCCTTTTTTTTAAAAAAAATTGATTTGAATTAATTTAATTTGAAAGTCATTGTGATCTGTGTAGAGAAGAATTCTTTTAGAAATTAGAAACTGAACTATAATAAACAATATAATATTATCCTTTTAGTAGGATTGGGCAGACAGATAGTATCATTCTTTCTTGATGAAGAATTCTACGTTCATCAGATTTGCTCCGTTTTTCTCAGGTCATGTAGAAGTCAGTGAGAGCTGAGATGGGGCTCGTGCCTCCACCCTGGGTGTCTTTTCAGAATAGCACACCAGCAGTGGCCGCCAGCACATCTGGTAGTGAATGGACTTCTCTACACAACTGGGGGATGGTGTCAGCTCAGTGTTTCTCTTGGTGTCATAGATTAGGAAAGAAACATGAACCCCGAGAGACTATAAATCACTTGGGGATCACTCGCCTACTTTTTAGCTTATACACTGTTGTTTTATTGTCTTGAGAGTGAGAAGAGAGAATTTCAAATTTAATTAGTTTTTGCTAGTCTGGTTTTCACTTATGCCCTCCATATTTTGAGGGACTCTCAAGAAAATTAAATACCTGTGAGGCTACGAGCAACTCAAGCAGTTTGTCTGTGTGTTTTTAAAGAAGTATAAAAATACCGCTTTTGTACATTAAAACCAAGCACTATTGACCATATTCAGGAAGAAAATAATGAAGCCAGGAGAGCAGAAGTTGAACAAAGCCGCAATGGAAGGAAATTCCACCTGGAAGATGACACCGCCCCACCTTTGCTCTTTCTGCAGTAGAGTGGTCTTGTCCTCTTTACTTCAAGGCTTAACCCAAGAGAAGCTTAAGCATGGAATCCCACAGAATTGAGAGTGACTAAGTTTCTAGTGGAAATCAAGCTTGCCTTGATGGTGTCATTGGGTGCTGACTGCACTCTAGGAGCAATCACACTGGCTGCAAGTGGGGTCAGCAGTACACCACTGGGTTACCACTGCTGAGGTCGCTTCCCTCCCGCACCTGGGCCAGCCGTCAGCTATCACTCCTGCTCTGTCTTCGTAAGACATTAATTCTCGATTCCCACTGCTTCACTGGACACAATAATTCTACCTATGCCAACAACGCAAAATAGTTTTCAACTAGAATTGTAATTTTATAATTATTAGTAGTTATTAGTAGAATTTTGGTAGGATAAAAAAATGAGCTTATTTAATTGAGATAGAAAAACAAGAGAACAGAGAACTTTTCCAGTTCACAAAAACAAGTTTTGAGCTACCAAAGTAAATGGTAACACTAATCAGTTCAGCTTCTGTTCCTATATGGGTTGATAATGGACCCAGGGCCTTAAACAGCACATCCCCAGAAGAACAGCATTACCACCCTGTAGGAGTTTCATGCAGTTGGTCCCATAGGGCCCCGCAGGTGAGGCCAGCCATCAGCAGCTGCAGAGAGTATCCAGGGCAATCACGGTGAAGACAGGGAATGGACTCTACCCCATGCAGCTTTCTCAGGAAAGGCAGCAGAAGAGCCCCAGAGAGCTAATAATCTCATCTTTTAGGCCCTTTGTCGATTCCCATTAGTTGTTAGACTCTGTTGAGGTGATCAGTCAGTTCCAACCTGTGCTGTTAGACTTGAAAGAGTAAAACTTTCAGTAAATTTAGTCTTGGTTGTCACGTTTTCGTACCCACAGAGTTTACTCTGCTGTATTTCCCGTGGGAACATAATAACTCAGATACCGAGCAGCAGGAGACACACAGAGAATAGACGAGCATAAGGAGCGTAATAAATAATCCCAGGGAAGAAGTGTGATTTAGTGTGTACAGCAGACATTCTGATTTGCACAAGCGCCAGAGAGAGAGCAAGCAGAAGCAGCACCAGGTTAGCAGAGCTTGTCAACCGTTAGAGGTACACACCTGAGCTGCAGGATCAGCCATAGCCCGTCCAGTGTTAGTGGTCAGTGAAGCACCTACTTGGAACACTGTTGAGAAGTCCCAATTGAGAGTCAATGGACGTGTGTGTGTGTGTGTGTGTGTGTGTGTGTGTGTGTGTGTGTGTCCAACAAAGGCAGATGACGGTATGTTGGGGAAATGACTGAGAGTGAAGATGGCTCTGCTCTTTGGAAATGAGTTTGCATTTACCTTAAAAGGATGGACAGTGACGAGAAGCCTGAGATGCAGTCCAAGGTAGTGGTCCTAACTCTGCCTTTAGTATGTCACCTTGGCTTCCCACCGAATGCAAGTGCATGGCGTCTAACTTTACATCTGCCCCTGTGCCGTGGCTGCCACTGTCAGCAGTGGGTACTGAGCTGGTCTGCAGTGAGATGTGCCATTGTGGAAAATGCAGCCTCCTTCGACACTCTGTGTGGAAAAGGAACGATGAACATCTTAGTGTTCCTAATATTAACTGTATTCTAAAATACTTTAGATTTGGAGTTGTAGATCTGTTTACTACTAAAGTTAGTTTACCTATATCTTTTCATGTGGCTACTAGAAAATTTTAACTTATACGTGTGACCCACACTGAGTCTATTCTATGGTGCTACTCTGTATGGCTCTATGAAAAATGAATGTTCCTTAGATCCCAAATCATTATGATATTGGCCTGTAATTAATATGTCCTTTCATTTATTTATGTATATTCTACTCGTAGTCTCAAAATATTCTGTTTACATTCAGAAGTATGTGTTTTGTAGCATAATTTATTTTAGAAGTAAACAACATGGAAAAAAGTAAGATAAAGCAAAAAAAGTATAGTTGGTACCTAAACTGCAGCATCTTTAGCAACAACTTTATAGTAACTAATGTGTTCGCCTCTCAGTAAAAACCAAGGGCATAAGTAAAGTTCAGAACCCAAGTTCAAAACTCAGCTATGCCATTTATTTTAGGCAAGCTGTCTAAAATATTTTGAAACTGTCATTTATTTTGAAAAATGTCAGTGCCTCAGTTTTTTAATCTGAAAAATGGAGTCATACACATTCCTCATATAACCATCTACAGACTTTTGGGGAATCTGTGAATGGTCATATTTCAGTACATGTTAGTTCTCTAACAAATATACACTGCTATGTCATCATCATTTCTAATATTTAGAGAAAGTTTGTTTGGAAGGAAACTAAACATTATTTATATTATACTGACAGACTTGTCCATCCAAGGATGACTTTCTTGTCAATATCTTAGAAAGCAAGAGCCTCAATAAATTGTATTACAGGCAGTCGTTCATGGACAATATCTCTTTCAAAACCATTAGATAAACTCTGGCATGCCAGTGATCCTGGAGGACCGCTTTGCCCTGCTGCTGGCTGTCTGTGCTGAGAGGATAGACACCCATTAGCACCGTGGGGATGGAGGCGAATGCTTGAGTGTGTAAAGGAAAACACCTCATCTGGGCTAGACGGGGCCCAGTGACAGTGCCACTGTGGGGAGCAGAGCCCCCTTTGCAGGGCTCGGTCCAGTTGATAAAGTAACTTAAGAACAAGCATGGGGGTTATCTCTGTGACCATCTTATGGTAGTGAGAGGGGAAAAGAGGAGCGAGCTAGAGATCTTGGCGGAGGCTGGGAGAAGAGGTGGGAAGAGTGAAGAAGAATGTGTGCCATGGAGAACACAGGGCAAAGAGACAGAACCCCATGACCTTTGTTCCTTGTCAGGGTGCACCCTTCTCAAAGGGTCGTGTGTACCTCCTCCCAGAAACTGCAGAGCCACCAGGAAGAAATGCATAACCATCACAGTGAGGGAGTGGCTAGACCTCAGAGTGGGATGGAGAGGGTGGGCAATGAAATCAGCTTACGGTTCAGCTTCCTTAGCTGTAGTCCAGAGAGGTATTGGTAACTGTATTTTCTGTCATCAGTATCTCCGTTAGCTCCGTGGTCAGCTTAAAGATTCCTCATTGGTTCATCTTTAACATCACCGCGGTTCCAGAAGCTGTGTGTCTTCATCACTGACACACTCGGCCCTCGCTGCCCTGTTTTTAATCAAGCAGTGGAAAGCTAGTGCTTGAGGATGGATTGGAAGCGGCTTCAAGACTCCCATTGTTGTGATTGAAATCTGCCTTTCTTTAATTTCCTATCTAACAGGTTATTACTGACCACCGATCATGCCAGCTAACCCAGAGGAAGCTGACATGCTGCTGCTGCATGTGCAGTTGGGCTTGGGAGGAAATAGCTGCAGAGAATGATTTCACCCCTCTCTTTCTGCCTGCCTTGCCCTGTGAAGAGCAGTGACCTTTAAGCCGCCTCTGGTACATGTCAGCTTCATAATCTGAAACTCAAAGAATAAAAAAATACATACCTAGCAAGGAAACTCTTTTGAATCATGTTAAGAAAAAAAGGTCTTGAGCTGGGGAGATACCTCAGTTATAGAGGTCTTGCCTGGTATGCATGGGATCCGGAGTTTCACCCCTATTCCTAAAGTGGGTCCAGCACTTGGGAGATGGAGGCAGGAGAATCATAAAGTCCAGATCATTCCCTATGCTACAAAGCAAGTTCAAGGCCACCTGGGGGATCTTGGCACACTACTTCAGAACAAAGAGAACCTTTCATTTCAACATCCTGTATTAAATTTGTAATTGTAAGGGGGACTCTAAGCATCGTTGCTTTTGCCAATTCGGCTGACTGTATATATAAAAACAAAAATCCAAAATGAGATTTGGTGGGCTGGAGAGATGGCTCAATCAGTAAAATACTTGCCAAATATGCATGCGAACCTGAGTTTAGGTCCCTGGCACCCATGTGAGAGCTGGTCTTGGCAATGCCGGTCTAAGACTCCAACACTGAAGGAACAGACCGTGTGGCCCTCTGGAGCTCCCTAGGAAGCAGCCTATACAGCGGTGAGCTCCACATTCAGCGAAGGTGGGAGTGGAATAGAAAGACTTCTAATATTGTCAACTTTGGCCTCGGCATGCACATGTGCACACACAGATGAACATGTACATACATCACAGGAAGAGAGGGAGGGAGGGAGGAAGGAAAAAAGGAGGAAAGAGGTGTAGGTCGTTAAAGTGAATTTAAATTTTCAAACATGTATCCCAGATGCAGAATGTGTGATTAGCCTGCCTAAGATTCTGGGTTTAAACCCAATTACCAAAACTAATGAAAATAGAATTTTAATAGAGCCAGAAGCCACACTTTGCTCAGATTTAGAATAGCACAGTTGTATTGAATACCTCAGTGGCGGATTTATTGTCCTGAAATTAACATCTGTTTCGAGAGCGTGGATCTACATTATCCTTTTGCAATTCAGCTGAAAGCCTGCAGAAGAGAGTTTGGGCTCCTGAGAGTTAGGGCTGAGCTGTCTACTGTGGCTCTAAGACGGACTCTTGGCTCTGGGTCTGGGAACAGATGTCCAGGGTGACTGGGCCTGGGTGCCAGATGGGTACATGTTTCTAATGCTCCCCAGCAGGATCTCTAAGTCCCCTCTGTCTCTTACAGTGGATTTTAGATCTTCTCAAAATAGCTTTATCTGACTTTGATGAGTGGGTGTCTACACACACTCCGCTTGTAGCTATTACAATCTACACAATTCTGTGGCTCTTTATGCTCTCTCTGCCTGACAATTTATGAGCTGTAAATGATATTTTGATGATATCTTATTAGATTCTGAATAGTTCATATACCGTATTTGCAGAATTAAAGCAACAGATATCACTGTGGGTATTTAACTTAAAAAGCTGATTTTTAGGGTTCCAACTCCATGATAAATGGGTTCCAGAGTATATGTAAATGAGTTAACTAGAAAGTTATTAGCCACAAACCATTTGACTACCAGGAAAGGTTAACCCAATGACATCTTTAGCTTATGAAAATTAAATTTGATGACAATTGTTTCTTCTAGTACCTAACAATAAAACATGTAAGTAAATACAATGACAAGGACTTATGATTCTTTGATTTTTTTTTAATGATAAGCTTTTGGTGTATCAACTACCATAGGTGAAGTAAGTGTAAAAATGTGGCTCCTTTGACCCTCTGGAAGTCATATCTGGATCCATTAATTATCCACTCTACTACTCTTGACTTATAAGAGAGAGGAAAAAAGGGAAAGAAAGAGGAAAGAAAAAAGGAAGGGAGGAGGTGAAGAGGGAAGAAGGTAGGATATTGTATTGTTCTGAACATTTTCTCCACAAAGTAAAACAGACAATAAGAGGCAGTCAAAACAGAACTCAAGCTACCAGATCCTTTCTGCTCCTTCATAGGCACAAGAGTTCAATTTATCTAGGATAAAATTGGTGTTTGTGTTAGTAACCATGCCTGGTAGGCGGTCACATCTATAATTTTAAAGGAATAGAGTATTGGATGTCCTAATGGATATTCTATTACTCTAGGTCCAAGCAAATGGAAGTGAGTTCTTTTCTTTGAGAATAAAGAAAGGTTACATACAGGGGTTAGTTACACAGTCATGGATTTTAAAGCTATAGGTAATAAGTAATGGAACCAGAAGAGAAGCACAGCAGGGCACAGCCAGACTCATGGAGAGCTGAGAAAGCAAAACAAAACAAACGTCCAGAATCTCCCAATCTTCAGCTGTGAGACAATCATTCTTCCCCGGGAAGTGGGCTGTCATTGCTTAATGCCAACTCTTTCCCCAACTTTCCGTTATCTTTGTACATAAGGCTTTGGAAATATAACCTCTGTTCTAGTCTGGGGTTCCATGACCTTGTTCACCACTATGAGAACAGCATGGCCTGGAGCCTGTCCTCAATACTATATGCAAATATTCATGCTCATTATTAGTATTTAATATTTCCCTGGGATTTTCAGATTTTTTTCAGCTGTTGTTTGCTCAAGGTTGAGATTCCCTAGAGTCCCTTTCAAATGAAGCCAATGAGTGGCAGTATTCTGACCCCTTTCCCTTTCGTCCCCTTTAAGGTGGTGGTGGTGATCTAGAACCACAGCCACAAAGACGATTGCTTTGGGAGTAGGATGAGGTTGTCATGCTGCCCCTTGTTACATAGCTTCCCCTCAAACTCCCAAACAGCAGCTGTCTAGTGAAGTACTACCAAATTCAGTTCCATTCTCAGCGTCCTGCCAGAAAGGAGTATCACCTTCAGGACCACCTTTTCCTTGCTGTGTCCAGACTCTACGGTGTGGAACTACAGAGAAGATGCTTCTGTCTCTGCACACACTATTATGGAACATAGGGGCTAAGTTGAAGACAAGCCCTAAAAGTTAAGTGGGTAGATGATGAGAGCCCCAAAGAGCTACCCTCTCAGATAGCATGGGGCCACATTTGAAGGGGGTGGGAAGAGTGATGGAGCTCCTAGAGTTTATTCTGAGATAAAGCTTGAGTCTAATCTTATCACCCTCCTGGAAGTATTTATTTACATTTTAACTGAGATTTGCCTTATCTCCATAAGGCAAACAATCTCCCTCTCTCCCAGAGGGGAGGTGGACATCTATCCATTTGCTTTATTGCCATCCAAGCTTATGTTTCCAGAATCCTTCACCTCACTATAGAACCGGGGTTATAATAGCTTCGAGGACTCAAAGTGTCAGAACCCATAAGAGGAAACTGAATTGTGTAGAGCCAGGAAGCGATTTTACATATATGATCACTGATGTTTCCTGACTGTAATGACTTGTGTTGCACATTTGAGATCATAAGTGAAGATGGGCAATTTAAAGAGTCAGCTCAGACCTGTGTTAACAATCCAGTTCAACACCAACTTCTCTCCTGTTCTGAGCTGTGACTCTAGCCGCTGTACCAGCTTTAGTTGGTCCGTGGGCAAAGAGTAAAAAGTGCCCATCAAGAGCACAAGGCCACTGCAAGTGTGCTCTGGCTCAGCTGCTGTACTCTCCTGTCTTGTGATAATGAGTAACTAGATTAAGAATACAAGTTTGCCATTTAGTTTAAGCTTTAAGATGGGGTTCAAAGTCAGCCTGTCTCACCTTGATTTCTATTATTCAGAAATAATAGAAATTATTATTCTATTCACCTCTTCCAAATGCATACAAGCATTTTCTTCTTCAGCCTCTGCACAAAGAGATGAATACAAATATGATAG